CGGAAAGATGGTTTGACTCAGCGGCCTCGAGAACACATTCGCTCTTCTAAACTAGAGGTCAAGAATCGATGGGGTTGCACATAAGTTATTGCGCGATGTTTACTCAACCTAACAATGTTACCTGAAGCCACTTGTCACAGTCGAGAGACACCCCTTATGCTAGTAGCATCATGCAGTGGGCGATGTCAAAGTCCAACTCTTCTTAACGAAAGGGCCCTAGTAGGTTTGCTTGCGTTATCCACATATACACAAATGAGACAATGAGCAGACGTTTTTGCACAGCTAAACTCAATGACTCAACGAGGTTTAATAACATTCACTAGCATTTCCTCAGTTCGCTTGCGCTCCCGTACATGGTCGCGTAACTTCTAGCTAACACTTGGAGGTGCGGTAAAATAAAAAGCCAATTACGTCTGTGGTGATTTTATTTGTCGAGCACCAAAAAGTGATAGTTTATAATTAATCATGCCTTCAGAATGAAATACGCTGCTTTGGACTAATCACTTATGCTGATGTGAAGAGCTTTTGAAGCTTTGCGTTTTAGGGTAGCTGCCAGGGTCACTTGCAGAAGGTCCAGGCCATAGCGAACTTTACAAAGTGAAAATAACTTAAAGTCCCGTTTCTTATACTAGGTTTTTCTGCTGCTTCTGGTATCAAGTAATCTAGTCCATTCTGACCTCATAATAAACAGCCGCAGTTCATCCTGCGCGGACAGCATTTAGTTGATTGGTGCTCTTAAAAAGAATCTAAAATCTTTACACTACTTTATATTGCTATAACTCGAGCATAATGAGAATTTTAGTTGCCCTGACAAACAGGTTTCTGGTATTTTCAGTAAGGTATAGAAGGTTTCCGATTTGCACACCTGTTTTCCTTACTCAATCATTTCATATAAATATCTTTCCTAGGCGCCCAACATTCAGTTTTCTGGAAAATTTTTAACACTGGCCTCCGTAAGCACTTTACAAGAACGAAGTTAATTGCAAAGTTGCAAATGATTCAAAAATTTTAAAAAATTGGCAAAATTGCCGATTATTGTGAGGATTAGGAAGATTATCCCTTAAACCTGACAGGTCAGAACTTCGTTAACGTCCGCTGATGCTCATTTTCATGTGCAAATTTTAATTCTCTCTTGGCCTTTCATTATATATGTTCCAAGTTTAATTTCCGCAGTACATCTGGTGCTTGCTTTCTGGTCACCTCCTTTCGTACAATTCAGATGTTTGCTTTGCAAACCTATCAGATGTTTGCCCAGACTATAAGGAAGTTGTTTATTTATCCAGAAAAGAGTGTGTATTCGGCAGGCTTGGTGGCATGTATGTCACAGTTCATCATTTAACTATCTGAAGCGACATCGGCGGATCAAAATTAGTACGACTGCCTATCAGCACCAGTTTCTTACTTGTTTTGGTTGTTACTCCTATAAGAAGTGTCCAGTGTTTCTCGGCGAGACGTCTTCTGTGGCTAGTAAATTTAGCAGCAACTAGGGGAATTAGACTGCATCTTAGGAGATGCACTATGACTGCAAACGCCGGCAATTAGAGGTTGTTTAAGTCTCTCTGAGTTTGAAATACATAGTCTGCTATGGTACGCTTTATAATTTTGTGATTAGGGGAAGTACCTTTCTCTGCGTTAACTACTACGTACACAAAACCACATAAAGAAATTTGTTTAATTGAGGTTTACCATTAAAATATATTTGATTTATTAATTGTTTCTATTTGTTTACTTTTTTACTACCCCGTTCAATTTCTTTGCTGTACACAGGTCTAAGAGAATAAATTTGACCGAGGTTTGCTTGCCTTTTTATTTTTCGGCACATATTATGCTGTTTTTCCGCTGTGAGACACTACCATTATAACGCTCTCTACCTCCATTCATAGTTTACACTGCCCTAGGGTTAGTGACGACTAAGGGGAGTAACATAACCTGTCGTTATTCAAACGAATACAAAAACATTCATTCACACTTTATTTTTCACTTAATCCATGTTTCCCTTCCCTACATGTTCATTTAATGCATAAGATCACACTTATTCGATATTTGGCTTAACGCCAACTCAAACTTTGTCGCAATTGCACGAATACCTATGTTTTCATTAAAGGCTAGATTTTAAACAATGCTTTCGGTATTGCGCTCATTTCCAGCAACCTTGTGGCATGCTGTGCAGTTTGCTATAAATAACTTACTTGGCTTAGAAAACGCTCAATTATGGAAATCTCCAGTGTTTTATCATAAAAGTCTGCCTCAACGGGAAAATCATACGTCGATTAGATGATGATTGTCTTTTTCTCCAAATTTTGCATGATATGAAAGCAGCACTTTTGATTTTTGATATTGGTAAAATATTAGATAATTAATTAATGTTTATATAAATAACAAAACAAGGTTAGTGCATTTCTATTTTAAAATATTCTCACAATAATCATAGTACAGCCGCAATGTTTTTGCTTGTTAATTAAAAATCCCAGCTGATTGTCGCTGGTTGTCCTGTGTTGGTAGAGTTTTATATTCCAAAACGGAATACTACCCAATGTCTTCAAGTCAAAACTGTAAACTCTTAGTGTATTCTTTCAAAATTCGGCTTGGATACTGTTCATACACTTTGAACAATGGCGTGTTCGTATACTTGTATTGCGTTTCATGGGTATGCTTGTTTTATAATGACTTTTTCTTTTATTAGTCCACCGAGCCATCTGGACGGAATTATTGCTTCCACATATAGCTGTGTTGGTTTGTACACGGAAAGAGCTTACCAATCTTCACGCACAAGTTGTTTCTCTAATAAATTCCACTGAGAATCCATCCTATTAACGTTTATAATTAAGCTCTAGTACCTATGACTCTCATGCCCTTTGCGAACTGAAGATTTATAAAACCCGCCCAAAAGTAGACGGCACTACTGGCGAACTAGTTCGCACTAGTGCTACTTCTTGACGGTTCTTGTGTAGCAATTCCAACAGTGTACTGGAAAGGTGTGAGACTATTTAATCTAATGCAAAATAAGACGAAATCCTGCAAAGTATTAAGGTAACATACAAAGGGCAACTCATGTGAGAGCTGCCATTTGAAATAAATTTAAGGAGCATTAGTCATGCTCAAAAGTCGCTCGAGATGTGCAGCAATAGATTTTTCCATCGCTTTTCCTGTCAATCTCAGCGAAACCATTCTGAGCCAGAAATTTTATGTCGTTTATAAATTTGAAAAGTGTTCAATATTGCGAAAAAGCTGGAGCATGCAGTTTTTCTCGGTGAAGTCCCATTGTCGTAGCTTTAAGATCCATTTAAACTTTGACAGAACGACCTGATTACAACACGGTCTCACAGTCACGAATCTAAACAAAGGTTGACCTTCATTTGCCGGAAAGGGCATGGTGTGTTTATGCGTATCATTCAAGTGTCCTTTTGCAGATGCTGGTATTGGTTACCATTTACTAATGAAAGCAATGAAAATGCCTATAGCCCCACCGACTCAATATCCATCGCCCACTGTCAACACAATCCCGGGTATGGTTTAACCAATCGTTGCGCTACCTGACAGATGCTTGCCTGTATACAGCCACCAAAAAAATAGGGCGAAGTTCGCTTAGACTCCAAAGGGAACAAGATTGGTTTATGGCCAGTTTCAGTGATTTACTAATCACCTTGATTGCAAACAAAGGGAAAGCAATGAAATATGCAGAGTTTTATGATGTGAGGGTATGTCATGACGTCTTTTATGAAAAGGTTCACAGTCGTTAAATGTTAATGAGATTTACTAGTGACGAAGAACGACACGGTTTGGGGAAAAAACGTGCCAGACGAAATGCGCTGGTTGGCATTGTGTGGTGCAGTAGAGCCGAAATAGGCGAACAAGTTCGCGCTGCCGCGAAACTTCGGCAAGCGTGGTAATGGATGCACAACACGAAACATTTGGCAGTTATGTGGGCGACGGAGTGAGGGGACGGGGAAAGGAATGGGGTTATTTCGTTCGTTCTTCCCAAGTCCACTACAAACAAATTATCACGGAAGACTGATGGACTAAGCTGTGTGCAACTTCGGAATCTTCCCTTCGCCATTTTTATGCCAACGGTTAAAGAAAGTGGGTTTTCCGACACCTTGAAAAGGAATGTTTGTGTAAAAAGAGTAATTTCTAAAACATTTCCTATCATGTAGATTTGATAGCAGTCATCTAATAACCCGCAATAAGGCATGATGTTTATTTCTATCTGCTTAAAGCTGCCAAAGGTGGAAGCATGCTGACTATTCTCCTCTTTTTCTTTACGAAGTTTGTTAATTTATCTTATTATCTCACCTAATTTTTATATATTCAATTTTAAGCGGTCTTAAATTCTACTAAGATGAAATGTGACATGTATTGCATATAAGCATAGTGTGCCATATAATTTCAGTCAAGTGCTTAACAATTTATTTATACAAGCCGTACGTGTACTTTTCGTCTCCATGGGTACATAATTTGCAACTATCATCAGACAACTTCCCATTTCGCACCGGTGCTGTGGAAGACTAATGGCGAGTTGCTATTTTAGAAGCCTAAAGGCCCGTTTTGCCCGTTTAATTGTTCAAAACGGCTTTGATATCCACTCCTGCGCACTGTTGTGTGACTTTTCAGTTGTGGTGTTTTATGTCGTTCTTTGTTTTTGAATAGATTTTCTCTGTACTACTTGCGAATAGACTTTTCAACATGAAAGTAAATATCGAATTACCTCATAATGTCACTAGATCCCTCTAGAAACTTGTAACGTTATCATAGTTATCAAAATACATCAGTATTTTATCCAACGCACCTGTTATAGTTGAAGGCGAGTTATGTTTGTCCGATTCTATTACAAAACAAAGAATTAATCTTAATGCGTACGCGATGATTCCACAGCACTTAATTGAAAACTTTCCTCTCGCGTCTGTGTGTGATAATTCCAAACATTGGTTTTTTTAAATTGTCAGGTGATCAAGGAAATTACCGAAAGGTTACGTTCAAGTCCGCATTTACCTCTAGTTGTTATGCCTACACAGTCGTCGTCAGCTACACCTGGGGTTGGTGGGGATTCTCCAAGTCCGGCGCTCACTGACAAATTGACGACCTCGCCACTGTCTACTGGTGTTCCCTTAGTCTTTCAGCTTTCCAATCCCGACGTAATTTTTGTGGGCCTCCCAGCCGTCGGCTCTGACAGACCACGTCTGGTAACCTCGCCGTCAGACAGTGCCTTCGTGGTCGCTTCGAAGCGTACTGATGAAGTCCATCTGCCCCAGCAAACTCAGACGTTGCCCCCTGCTGCCAGGTACACGGTAGCTTCCCCCAAACCCGGATACCTTTTGGCTGTGTCTTCGGAAGGCAGCGTCTACCAAATTCCAGAAAATTACAATGTCTGCGGCAAATAATGTGTCAAGCGCACTACTAACTGACCTAAGTTTAAAAGAGGTCATTCAACATCAATCTTATCAGCCCCACCCTACCGTTCTCCCGTCCCTATTCAGTTGTCTCCAAGTGTACATGTTTTCTGGTTCAAGCAATCTAGAGAAGGAGAATTTCGACCTATATCTGATTTAAAATAAAGTGCATTTGTCTCTAGAACAAGCAGAGCCTTTCCCTCACAGTTCACGTGCGCCTGATTTTGTTGCCGAATATTTTCCTTATCACAGACCTTCATTCCTTACGACATTATGAAAATAAATCAGTTATACTCTTGCGCTTGAGTTAATTATTAGATAACAACAAAAAATTGGAAAACATAATATCAATTATTAAAATCAGTTACTTCGCCGCTGTATAGCGAAACAATACGAAGAGATATGAAACCAATTTCCGTCGGCTTTGAACGAAGACATTAAAATTAAATAGAAGTGATGCCGACGGATAAGGCCAACAGAAAATGGACAGGGCACGTTTCAGACCACTGTCGAATATGATGAAGACTTTGCGTGATAAAATTACCAAAATAGTTTCCATTATGTTGGATAAGTGAAGTAAGTGGCATTCCGAGATGATATGATGAAAAGGAAGAAGATCTTCGGAAAATCGAGTTGTACTCGTGAATTTTCGAACAAATACCACGTGTTCTTCGTCAGACTAAATGAAAAGTGATGGCTGGCCAGATTATTCCTGATAAGTCTTGCTTAAGACTTCGAAAAGCTCGTAACCTATTTTCTGCAGCAGTTTTTAAACCCACCGAAGAATAAGCTGCACACATATGAACAGGAAGTGACAAGACTTTATTTCTGTTTTTCCTTGTACTCCTGATGGCACTCATTATGGTTGTTCTATTTGGATGCATGTGTAAGGTCTAGCAAATCATAATTGATGATCTTCCACTAGCGCCCGTCGACATCCAGCGGATAACATAGCTTTACAAATCTAAAGGCTCAGAACTAAGATTTATCCAGCCCACCGGAATCTTTAGTTGACGAGATTGATGCTACTCAGGGGAGAGTTCAGACGAGATTACACCCGGAAACATTTCGCAGCAAATTACTTCCGTGAGTGAGCACAGAACATTTGACGGTGGTGGCATTATTACTGGCCATATAGGTGCCCGCTGTATATGTTGTCAGAGAAACAAGATCAGTGAATAGAACTTTGGTATAATCGATTTAATATTTCTCTGTGATGTGGGTCTTAAGATACACAGACCATATTTCACATTTATACAGAACGACTATCATGATGCTTGCCAAATGTACTTGCGGCTTGACCTTCAAACCGACATCACGATTCTTCCAGCATTTTTGAGGAAGTTAAACGAAGGAAGTATGCGGAAGCAGAAACTGTTAATCAGTCCAAGAGTTTTTGAACCGACCGTGACCAGTAGACCTCTCTCACCTCAAAAACCGGGACGAACATTTTTTTCGCAGCGGAATTCTTTCAGACAAACGTCTACCACCATAGTGTTGGTGTGGAAGACAGAAAATTACACTTTTGATGCTATTCAAGTAAACAATATGCAAGCTACAGTCTACGGTAGTATCTCAGTGGTCAACTGCGTTGCCTAGGAAGCCTAAGATTTTACGCGATTGAACACAGCAAGTCATAGAATACGTAGTTCCAGATATTTACGGGGACCTTCTCTCCCACTCTATGATAGTAAGCTGTAATAACTCACAGTAACTTCAGGGCTATGTCAGAATTCAGTATGGTTGACAGATAGCGCTAGCCTTCCTCAATTTTTTCGTTCCCCGCAAACATTTCGGTGGCTAAAACCCAAAGCGTTCTGGAAAGCGACAAATACGAAGCAAGTGCTGAGCTTTGACAGCAACCACCCACTGAGTCCTAAACGCTAAAAGGGAGCTATACTTTCATAATAAGCGCCAATACTATAAAATGAAAACAAGGATGCTTCGATCGAAAGACTATCTGCCCAACCTTGTAAACTACTGTATGTAAAATCTACGTGGGAGCTAATACAATCGCTCCGATATTTTGGCAACAAAAATTCCTCGAAAGCCATCAACCATCCTCTTACTCCCTTATTGCAGTGGCACACAAATCGAAGACGATGATCAGACGCCAAGTAGTGGAACATAAAGATCTCAGTCCACAGCAGCAGTCGTTTACCGGATCTCGTGCAATTGTGATCAAAATATCTTTGTCGGAGAAACTGGCAAACTACACTGACCAGTGGTTAGGAGAAACAATGCCAGCTTCCAAGTCGCGATGCATTCGACGGAAGCTGGTCATTAATTTAAGTTCTACGAGAACAAATTCCCGTAAAATATAATAACCGCATGAACAGCTAGCTGCTTGAGTCGTCGACCTCTGACCTCAATCGACTGACAGGCGCACTGATCGAAGTTTTGGCCTGGGAGCGCGGAAGCGCGTAGGTCAGTGCTTGTGCGGTTGCTAGTGTCAGCAAGCTAAATTGCTGAGGCCCTTCATGTGTGATGAAATTGCGGCAACTAACGGCTGGGTTTTCTTCAATTAAGTAAGTATTACACCACGTACAACCGTCTGTAATTAGCATGAGATCCAGCAATTTTGATAAGCAGAAAGGCACAGCAACTACATCCTAAAAATACTTCGAAATTTGTACAAATCACTGTCCATAACTTCTTCTTTCCATGAGGTTCAGGTTGATTATTCATCCCAAACTCGACTTTCAGCGATCGCATTATCGACTTCCCCACTATTTCCAGGAAATTGCCTTTTTGCTTTTGTCGAAAAAGGTTGAAAAAATAGAAAGGAAGAATACAGGAAATGGTTAAAATTATGTTATCTAAAAGCTCAGCGGGAGAGGAAGTGCTACCCGCTGACTCATCTGCTAGATGCAGTGCATAGCATAATTATGACTGCAAATATTGATCAATCAGTTTCATTGTATCTCAAATAGTATTCGATTTAACACTAAGACGATCAATGCATTGAGAACACTAGTGTATTGTATGGGTACTGTTCCAAAACTAATGATGGAAAACCACGTAAATGCTCAGCTATTCCAATCAAACACGAAAAAGGACCAGTCACATGAGGGCAGCTGCCATTTTTCATTTCCCTTATCTCTTTAAGGGCTTCCTCTACAGGTAGATAGATAAAACTGTAGGAGTGTTTAGAGGCCGAGGCATTTGCATCGTGACCTATAGTCCTGGGCTCTGAGCTTGACATTTTAAGAAGCCGAAAAAAATTGTTCCTTTCCCTTGATCGTTTTGTTTGCTATTGACTATGAGGTAGGCAGACTGCCAGGCTGATTTATATACAACGTATTACCTATGCTCTTTTAGGAATAGATAGCTGGAGCACACTGAAAATGACAAGCAATTCTGTTCCATAATAAGTTACCTTAGTACCGTGCACAACGTATCGTGTCTCCACACCCTGCCAGCACTGCAGCTATGTATTCGCTGTAGGTTAGTCTTTCTACATCACTGCCAGCCCCAGCAAAGTTACTTTCACTCTCCTCCACCTGTTGACTGGCTGGATAAAGCCACCAACTGGGAGCACAAACTGGTTCTTCCTCTTCTAATTTCATTCTCGCGTGCTGGTCACGCCCAGGCCTCAAGATAAATATCTGCTATTTAGTAGGAGCAGTTGAGAAGGTTCCTGTATGCGCAAATGTAAAGGTTGATAAAATGTACCCCAAATTAAGCGCATCCATAGTTGGTTGGGATGACATTCCCATCAACGTCAACTACAGTTTCTGAATAACTTTCCACATTTCGGGTGTTAACAGTCCAACAAAGGATGGGCAGTCCATTCACCCGTGAGTTCCGGTTACTACCATGCGTTGCTTTATCCTTTATTACATTATGGCTCTAGATAACATGGTATTACTCTGTTCAAAACTTTAAAATGATCTTTTTAAGCGCCCTTTCAATAATCTTGTTATCAGCGGATGGGAAAGAGCAGGTTCGGGAAACGAAGACTATATTCGCAGCCTGAGAACAAGGGTTCTTTTCATCCAAAGATGCATTATATATTCGGTGCTCTGAGCGTTCTGGAGCATTCCGATCTAAGCGTGCAGTCTTTGATTGGCCGTTTCGTGTGCAAGAATCTCCCTCCCCTTCGCGAGCTAAGCTCAAGTTTTTGATCGGCCGCGAGCGTGAGTAAAAGCCTCAGGTGTGCTCGATGTTGCAGTGCACGCTAATTGGCTACTTGATTTAATATGCATGTTTTGCGGCCAGACCTGCTATACCTTTGCGTCTTCGTTTCATGTTTAGGCCGTAGCTTTAAATAATTTCCATCCTCCATAACATATATTGAACTATGTGTACCAGATTAAAAGCGAAAATTGTTCAAAACACTCATATGGGGGTTAGTACGACAGTCTGA